CTTTGCTTTTTTAGATGAGTTTGTAATCACCTTATAACTGAAAATAAAACTTTCCTTTATAAACCAGCTATGCTTTTGGATGCTTTTTTTTGGTCTTTTGAGTAGCTCAATTCTTCCTTTAAACCTATTATTTATTGTGGGGTTGGTTATTTGGGGTTTTCTTGTCCTTATAAAATATTCCATTTATGTATATATACGTGCCCAGCTCACCAAGCTCTTGGCCCAGCCCCAGCTCACTGTCTGACCATGACTGTCATGGTTTCACCCTGGTCGGCAGCTCAGCCCCACACAGCTGCTCGCTCAGCGCCTCACCCAGCAAAAAATTCTTGGGTTGGGATACAGACAGTTTAATAATTAGAAAAAGGAGGCAAGAAAAGAAAAAAAACCAACACAACAAAGAGGAAAAAAACCAAAAGCAAGAAAAATAAATGATGCAAGAGAAAACAATTTCTCACCACTAACCAACCAATGCCCAGCCAGTCCCGAGCAATGGCCGCCCCTGCCCACCTCCACCCGCCCCAGGCTTCTCTCTGCACACCAGAAATGTGCACCAGACGGGGGTATCCCTTGGGTCGGCTGGGGCCAGCCGTCCCAGCTGCTTCCCCTCCCAATTTCTCCTGCATTCCCAACCTACTTGCTGGCCGGGCAGTGTGAGCGAGCAGCAGCAAAGGCCTTTACTCTTGCCCAGCAAGAGTAAAACATCCCTGGGTCATCAACAGTGGTTTGGTTTGTTGGGGGGGAGAGGGGGTGTCTCCCCCCATCAGCAATGACTTTGGATGAGCGCGAAGAAGGGTCAGTGCTGGTCCCAACCCACATCAGGTCAGTCTTGCCCAGCCTATGGCTTTACTTCACTGGTGATTTATTTTCCCCAGGCCAACTCTTCGTCAAGTACAGTTGGGCATGTGCTCTTACAAGGCTGTGAGAAAGTAGCCTTCCCCCCGCCCCCTCCATTTTCCCTCTTCTTTTCTTTCTTTGAAAAATAGAGCGCTGATGTCCTCCCAAGCCTGCCCCTGCAGTCATGGCCTTTCCTTGGCCCCTTCACAGGGGCTCAGGGAGATGAGCGCAGTGGTGTGAGTTACTGCTGGGGGGCTCTTGCCATTGGGCTGAGCCACCCCAACTCAGCCCATCCCAGGGCATTGCCCACTGCTGTCTGTACTGCCTTGGCTGCATGGCACCACTGCTGGGGCGTTCAAATACATTAGAAAAGCTCAACAGGAAGAAAAAGAAAAAAAACCAAACAAAACCAAACAAACAAAAAAACCCCCCCCAGCATTCATTTTCCTGGTGTATAGGACTGGTATTTAAAGCTCGCTGATGGCCTGTTGTCAAGCAAATGAAGGTTAAACCAGAGAGGCCTTTCCTTAAGTCCTGATTTGAGGTA